TCAAAATTAATGGTGCTAACGTGACGCCCACAGCGACGGGACTGCACGGCTGTGCTATTGTCCTGCCTTCCCGCACAGCAGGCACTCCCAGCAAGAATGGCAAGATGGGCCTGGAGGAATGAGCTTAGATGGTCCAAAGATAATCCATCTGGGTTTGTAAAGAACGCTGTACCAAAGAGCAAAAACAAAAACAAAAAACAAAAAACAAAAAAAACAAAACAAAAACGCAGCATCGTTGTTGGGAAAGATTTAGGCAACTAGCTTGGGGATTGCCTGCTGTGAAAAAAAAAAAAAAATTCGAAAATGTGTAATGTCTTCTTCCTCTTGGCCAGTGAGAGGTAGATAGGCAAACAGGGACCCTACCCCAAGCCCTGCCCCTCTCAGGGGGGGCCTCACCCTTTTGAGCACCTTTCCTGATATCTAAGTCCTCTTCTGCTGGTGGCAGCTGTGGCTAGCAAGGCTATCCAATCAGGACACCCCAAGTCTGCACCAGGACCCACATGGGCCTGGCCCCCACCTTTCCTCTTGGAGCACTCTGAGAACCTGCTCTATATGGAGGAACTCTGGGGGTCACGCCCACCCGGTTGTCCTGGAATGTGGTAGCCAGGTTTGTTTCCAAAAGGGTGGCTGATGAGCAGACTGCTCCCACTGGCCAGCATGGCATTTCATGTTTGGAATCCCATGAGACTGACCGCCAGATTATTGCTGATACGTTCAAGTGACTCAAACTGGTTATATGGACAGAGCGCCTCCCCTCAACATTTGCTCAGAGCCATAGTCCCTATGGAAAGCCCTGGTGGGAAAAGAGAGTGAACATGAATGGAATTAAAGTCAGAAGAGAAAGGAGTCCAAAACTCTGAAGGAAAAAACAAACAACCTTGCATGTGTGTATACCTCTGTACATAAATCTATGATTGCCTTTTCTGTCTTGATCTGTTAAAATCCGACTTATATGCCATAAATTTGGTTTCTAGGGACATAATACCTTCTAAATCTTACTTCTTAAACGTGTCTCACCAAACGCCCATTTCCCTAGAACAAGTAGTACTTTGGGAAGAAAGGAAGACTGTTAGAGAAACTCTGATTTAAACAAGCAGGGCTTTTGTTGCAGAACTTCTCAGAGCCTTGAACACATTAACTTAAAGTATGTAAAGCAAAAGGGGATGCGGCCCCTACCAGCTCCCTCTGACCAGGACCTCTTTTCACAGCATCTTATGGGACTTGATGGAAAATGCTGTTTTAAAAGAATAGCACAGGAAACACACACACACACACACACACACACACACCTCTTCTTATTTAGTTTCTTGGGAGGGAAAAATAGAAAGGGCCGGGTTTGTCCCCTGGCAGTTTCATTTTTGTAAACACAGAACCAGAGAAGCAAGGTCAGCCCTTTTGTGTTGACACACGGATCTCTCCCTACTAGCAGGCAAGGAAATTTCTCAGAGAAGATTCTATGATAGAGTTAAAGTCTGAGGCCAATAGAGGGCTCTGTAGGTCTGATGGATTCCTTTCAAATCCCAAGACAAACTCAAGAGAGACTGTCACTGCAATGAAGCTTGGTGGATGGGACATACGAATCCATCAGATGTGAGGAATATCTCAGTCACCACATCTGGAACTTGTGGGTGGGATTAATGCAAACGTTGTTGTTCCCCACTGAGCTCAGAATAAAAACAGCAAACTGGGAACGCAGACCTATCTGTTCAATGTAGAATGCCGAATAAGCTTTGTAAAAATATCAACATAAAACTGAAAGGGACGACTCCCTATTACTATAAATACATGTATCTGGGAGGAAAGCTTTTCGGATACATCTCAGCTTGCTAAATTCCAATACTCTGCTTCCGTGCAACTGGCCATCTCATTTTCTCCTGGCATTCCTATTTATTCTTTTTCATCATTTACCTGTGCATGTTTAAAAACAGCATAGTCCCAAGGGCAACCCTCTTGGGCCCCCTCGCTCTTCGGGAGGTTTGTACTATCACTTTGCTATCGCTCAATAAACCTTACTTTGCTGCCCACCAAATAAATAAATTAAAATAAAATAAAATAAAAACATTAAAGTCTTGATGAGACCATCCATTCACTTAGAATGCATAGCTTGACATATAGTCTGATCAACGTATCTGATGTTACAAGCAGGCACATGTATGAGTGAGTCAAATAGGCAAAATATGGAGTATTTCAAGTCACACTATTTTTAAGTGGAGCAGCTGTAAGTGGTCAGTCATGATATACCCTTGACTCAGCTTGATATTTCCCTGGAAGAAATCTGTTCATTCACTGTGGTACTTTGTTCATGGCCATACATTTGGAAATCCTGGCCTGTAACAGCGGTTCTCACAGTGTGGTCCCACGACCAGCAGCCTCAGCATCACTTGTGAGGAACAGAGATTCTCGGACCCCACCCCGGATCTGTCGACTCTGGAACTGCTGCATGTGACCCAAAAGGCGTGAAAGAACACATTATCTGAGCACAGCTACAGAGGAACAAGGAACTGAGGAAACAGTCAAGAAGCTTCAGGGAAAGGCAACATCTGTGCAATTTTGAATAAAGCTACATCGTATCACTCATTGGGGGGAAAGTGAACTGAAACATAAATCCCTGCCTCAGGCCCTCTCTTGACATGGTGACCTGAGATGAACAGCTGCTTAGTCAATGGAGTTGCTCCTGGTCACCCTCTGTGGTTCACACGGTTCACACTGGAGCCACGCCGCTTTAAATGTGGGGAAAAAAACACAGAAACCCCCTGCTCCCTCCTCCTAATGAAAACATAACATAAATGAAGCTGAATCCCAAATATGCACCTCCACAAGGTCTCTGGTGGTTAGTGCTTTCCAAATCACCTAGCACACTGGAGGGCACACCCAGCAAGCATGTTATAAAGGTCCAGACGGTGGGAAGCGATGTCTTCCTTCCCTCCCCAGGGCTTTGGAACAGTGCGCCAAGACCAGCCAGGCTGGGGCAGGCTGCCCTCCAGCCAGCGGCATCCCTGTGGCAGCCCCAGCCCAAGCCCTTTCTGCTGTGACAGGTGTCTCCTCTGCCTCTATCCGGGACTCTTGACTTTACCCATGACTGCTGCTCAGTATTGTGAACGTTCACACTCAGAGAAGTACTTCAGAGACTCTTCTGGCATTTGTGATTTTAAAAAGTGCTTTCTTTTTTTTCCTAGCACCAAAGACCTTATGTGAGCCAGCCAACTACAAATAACAAAACATTTTAAAGGAAAAAACTGTCTTGAGCCCCCAGCTTTGCTTTAGAACTCATCTATGTGCCATGTTGCCTCGACTTCAGTTGCTTCCAGTGCTAAGTGGGGGTGTCTTCCGCCAAGGGCATCTGGCTTCTAGGTGAGCACGTTCCCTTAGCGGATGGGATTGAGAGCATGCTATCCAAGGGTGCAGGGGCAAGCAACTTGAGTAAGGATAAGGATATGATCACCTTAAACCCCTCAGTCTGAAACTGATGTAGCAAGAAAGAGAAGGAAACTGAGCTGCTAGCAAATCAAAGGGAGAGGACACGTTGGGAATGAAGACTGGAGTTTGGGGTCCACACAATGGCTGGTGCCTGGTCAGATCACCTGACTCCGAGACTGCTATCTCTGGAGGCATCTGTGGAGCCACAGACATCATCTGTCCGTGTGCTCATCAACGTGCACGTCTCCCCCTTCAAAGGAGCTGCTAAATCACATGTCAAGGCCCCGTTACCTTAACCAATTCACCATCTCCTACCAAACACGGAAGGAAAACAATAGCTAAAAGTTATTGCACCTTATTCATAAATGCCCTTAAAAGCAATGACACATTTTGATCTGCGTTTCTTCTGAGTTTCTATTTCCTGAGCTCTCTGTGATTAGCACATTACTCCTGTTATTATCAACAGGATGTGATTGTAATTAGCACGTGATACCCAGTGTCGTTATGGACGTACTCAGTAATTACAGCACTGCATTCACAACTCTTGCAAGATGTAGGTATTATTTCTGATTCTGAGACCACCGGGGATAAGTAATATTGGCAGGATGTTCCTGGGGAATCTCACTCTTAAAAAAATAGCTTCAGGTTATGTATTTGGGGAGGGTATGTGCTATGGTGAGTGCTGTGAAGCGTGTAAACCTGGCAAATTCACAGACCTGTACCCCTGAAGGTAATAATACATTATATGTTTATAAAAAAATTAAAAAATGATTTAAAAAAATAGCTTCAATGGCATGAGGAAAAGCTCTGGAAGTGAAGAATCTTCATTCAAGGCAACAGGACAACCAAGTGGCTAGCAGAGAGGGGTCTGCAGCCTACCAAGGGAGCTGGAGCCAGAGCAGGTGCACCCAGGTGTCTTTGCCAAATCATGTAAATGGATACAGTTACTTGTGCTGAAGGCCAAACAGCTTGAAAATATTCACCTCTTTTAACTTCATTTTCCTATTCTCTACCAGGAAGCAATGTAAAAGAAATAACTGAGGCTGTAAACATGAATTAACATATACTGACATTCATAGAAGTGCTGGTGAAGAAACAGGAAATCAGAAAAGACCTGTGACCGCAATCACGGGCTGGTCCATCCATCAGAGAGAATACTCTGCTTCCACATTTTCTTTGGAAGAGACAATATTATGACATGAAAAAATTGTTCAAAAAGCTGAAGCAGAAAAGTCAGGAGTCCATAACAATACAATCTGGATGTTGTGGTATGGCATCGGTACATAGCTAGAAATCAAAGCCTGAAGGAAAACACGCCAAAGTGCGTTAGTGTCTAGGTGAGGGCGGTATGATGTAAGTAATCGTTAAAATTCTTCATTTTACACTTTTCAGTATTTCCAAAAACTGTGTATATGCCTCCCATTTGAGAATGCCTTAGACATACCAAGTGATTAAGGCCAACCTGGAGGGAGACCGGAAGTGATGCTGCTGGCTCCGACATCTGGCATCTTGAAAGATGGTCCCCGAGGATCCCGCTGCCCTGGTACCTGTGTGCTCATCCCAGCTCTGCAGCAGGCACTTACCTGTGAAGGTGTCGTCACGCTGATTTCTGGGACAAAGTTGTCCTCGAAGAAACTGATGATGTTCTCCTGCTGGAGTTCCTTTGTTGGGGTGACTTTAGGCAGCGGTGGGACGGGAGGCCCCTTCCTTGTCTACAAAACATGAGAGACACAAGCAAATTAATTCGGCCAAAGATGGCATCTGAGTTGTGTGGAAATGCCACCTGAACAGCGCTGGGCAGACATGCTGCAGTGACTGACATTCAGATATGCACAGAGAAAAAAGGGACCTGAGTAGAGAGTGCACCTGGTCCTATGTGACCCTGGGAGCTCCCACAAGCAAGGGCCCCCTGAGAATCACTCAGGGAGTGCAACCCCGTGTACTTCGAGGCCAGCGCTGCACAGCCGGGCCAGGGCCAGGGCCAGGTGCCTACGCCTCTCAAGTTAAACTAGGGCTGCCCCCTTTGTGAAGTCAACCAAAACGGAGTCCTCATTTCAGCAAGAAATTAGAATTTTGACACTATAATCAGGAAAGCTTTTCACTGGATTCCGTGAGATCACCCACAGAGAACAAGCATTTCACTTTCTAATAGAGTGTTTTGAGAGGTAAGGACTTCACAGAACTATTCCACGGACCTTCTCACCACTTCCCTTAGTTTCAAAGACTTGAACTTCAACTCTTGCTGTAGGAATTTCACCTTCACCCCAAGTGGGGAAGACAAGGGTGGCAATGTTGTTCTGTATTGACCTTTTCCAGCCCTCACTGTTTTTCTCGATGGCTTATTCCAGATACTTTTGATGATTGTCTACTCATGTGCCGCATACTGTGGGTGATACCAGAAGATGTAAAATGGCATATAAACCAGGCTTGTGAAGCTTTCTTGGCCAGAGTTTCTACAAGTGTGCCCGAAAATGCTAGAAGGAGGGAATGTCCAGGGAGAAGGTGACATTGATTGGGCCCTTCTGAGAGCGAGAGGTGGGAGGAGAGGAGTGCATGTGAGCCTAAGGAAGCTGAGGTTGTGGAGAGAAGTCTCAACACACCCGAACACAGGGCATGTGAGAAAACAGGAATCCAAGTTGGAGAGGTTGATTTCTTAGCAACCATCACAATGCCCACAGCCTCTAAGTCTCCCCAACAGGAAACTCCTTTTAATGCCCCAGCACTATGGGATTATCCCAGATGGGATCACCTCACCACCAGTTCTTGCATTCTCCCCAGTACATTTTACCTCTTCCTACCTGTGAAGGTGACCTAGGCCTGGCTGGTGCGGGAGACGCAGGTGCCAGCGTGTGATTGGGACTAGCTGTTGGGCTCGGGATGGGTGAGGCCTCCTCGGGCGGTGATGGTGTCTTTGCGATGCGGAGAGGACCAGAATCACTAGATGAACACACAAGAGTCAGCGATGAGCCTTCTAGAGAACAGCACTTACTTTCCAGGGTCCTCCATCTCAGAGGAATCCTGAGAACATCTGGTTCTGTCTGTCATGTAGCCCCCTTCTAAATTAGTTCTGGTGGTTACTAACAGTGCTGGTGAAACTGGTACCATTATTGTTTATGGTCTGTGTGCCAGACCCCATTCATTCATATTATCTCTAACCGTTGCAACACCCATGCATCAATGTCTCCACTTTATAGGTAGTAGAGTGGGGCACAGAGAGGTTAAAAACCCTTAAAGTCACTCGGCAATTTGGTGGCTCTGAGTTTAGGCCTTGGGAAGGCAAACCCTCTGTTCTTTCCGTTGTGCCAAACAGACTCTGCAAGAATTTTCCAAGTATAAGCTGACTTAGCTGAATTACTTTCACCTTTGGTGTACAAGAAAATCTTGCTATGTCATAATCTATACAAAAATCTACCCTGAAAATGATAAATTTGATGTTAAAGGTGTCCTCAGAATAGTGCTAAGATTTTACAGGAGTCACGGGCGCCTGGGTGGCTCAGTTGGTTAAGCATCTACCTTTGGCTCAGGTCATGATCTCAAGGCCCTGGGATCAAGTCCTGCATTGGGCTCCCTGCTCAGTGGGGACCCTGCTTCTCCCTCTGCCCTGACTTGTGTGTGCTCTCTCTCTCAAATAAATAAATAAAATCTTTAAAAATAAGGTTTTATAGGAATCTTTTCTGATAACATTGGGAAATAAATTCATTAGCTGTTCCTCTTTCTACACCTTATAAAACAAAGGCTTGGCTCAGACACCTGACGTGTGCAAACAAATTATGTGAAGGCAGAGAGTCAATAATGTCTCCTGGGAACCCACCATGTTCCTGGCACCAGGCCAGATGCCTGGGACCAGCTCAAATGCAATGACCAGGAGGGCACTGGGGACACATCCTACTCTCTAGTCTTTCTAATGTCTACAGATTGAGGGAGGAGGGTCTATATACCCCAAAATAAATAAGCTCACACACCACAGCATGGTCTACATATTCAAGGGAGTGGGTCCTGCGGAGGACACGGATAAGCCGCATGATTGAGGCTCTGCCACCAACCATGGCCTCTGCCGGGAAGGACGGCCCCAGTCTATGCTCAAGAGGGCAACCACTGAGCTCACTCACCACCTCGTTCTGCAGAGGAATGATGTAAAAAAATGAAAGGAACATTTGTTAAGTGGTCATGACCCCGTTTTCTCTTCATTTTATCTAATTCAGCAATATTGAGACTTTCAGACACAGCTGTCCTTTTCATGTCTTTAGGAGGGAGTAACCCTTCATTTTTTCATGTACATCATTGTTAAAATACCCGATGTCATTTTGACGTTCTTATTACAACTTTCTCTTTGTTCCAAGTTCATACTGAAATACTATAGAGGAAGCAGTAGTCCTTTCATGTATTCTTTTAGGGAATGTCCTTTCCCTTAAAAAATAAGAGATACTAAATCCTTGTTTCATATAGCTCTGTAACAGAGACTATGATGAGTACAGATAATACAAAGAACATCAAAGAAGAAAATCAGCTCTCTCCAGAGAGGTCTGAACATATGGTGATGGGGGCACCTGTGCAGGAGTGTGTGTTTTTATAAATGTGTGTGTATGAGTATTTATGTTGACTGACATTAAAAATGCAAGTATTACCTTACAAACCATTTAGTTCAATACTATCTTTTTTTTTCTGCTGATTTAAAAAAAAAGCAAGAGATACAGAGAGAGATCTTTAACCAGAGAATTAATTGGACGCACTTAAGGAAGGCAAAGTAAGTTAACTGTATAGTCAGAAACTGGAAAGCTGGATCTTCTTACTTCCAGCCCAAGGACCATTAGCCCGCATTCCTTGAGTACATAATGCCTGAGAAGAATGGATTAAAGGGATTCCAAAATCACAGGAGAAAGCTGGTGGGAAGCCAGGTCCTAGAAAGGTAGATGATCTGCTTATGGATAGCTGGGCCTTTGATACCACAAAACAATGTGCAAAAGAGTCAAAACAATGCAGTGTTGGAAAGGTCAAGTTAAGAGATAGGATGGTGGTGAGGTCTCACCTACACACTTTCCTTTCCCAAAATGGACCATTAAAGATGCCAGCACCAAAGGTAAGAACTCAGTGTCGTGTGTTTGGGGAATTCCTTTCTTCTCCAAAGAAAGTTAACAAGTGCATGACTAGAAATTATATGTTAAAAATTTACACCACTGTTGACGGGTCTCCTGGAAAATGGAGAAAGGCAAATAGCCAATTCTGTTGTGACCACGACAGACACCCACACTGAGTAAATCTGAAAGCTAAAGGTCAACATACAAGCCCAGAATGAGGCTGCCGTCAGCCTCAGTATGGAAAGTCTCCTTAGTTTTAGATTTTTCTAGAATGAGTAAAATAGCATAGGCTTGTGCAGACTACAGAAATTGCAACAAGCATTGTGTTAAAGGCGAACAGACATAACTTGGCTCCGATGAAGACAGCCTACCTGGGAGCTCCTTGAATGGTGAAGGCCTTATCAGCATGCTGGTCACCCAGCTTCGTCATCACTTCATACAATTTGTGGCAAAGCTAGAGGGACAGAGACCATTTGTCTATTAGCCGTTAAGTCATTCTGAGGTCAATTCAGGCTACTGCTCCAAGAAAGGATCTGTCTACTGAGAATCTTACATACTATGGATGGTCTCCGGACAACTTAAATTCTGCAAATGGGCAATTTAAAATTCATGTCAAAAGTGAAAGGCCACAAACACAAATAAACTTTTAAAAAAACAAAATATATCATTAATCAGAGGACAGAACAGAAAACGAAAACTTATTGTTCCCACTGACTCTAGTAGAGATAAAGTCATACAACTACCCTGCTAAACTCAGACTTCAGCGGATGACAGAAGGGCTGATTGTCTGACCATTCAGATACCAGTTCCTCCTCAGCCTAAGAAGTACTGCTTGAACACTAACTTTCAAAGCTGACTGAGAACAAAGCAAAACAAGACCGTGAGACTGGGACACAGAGAAAAAGCATCTCAGAAGAGAAACGGACACAGGCTGTGATTCCTGGGAGCCTGTCTGTACACCCAGAGATAAAATCTGGACAAAACAGAACTATGTGGTCACTACACAACATCAGAGCAACACCACTGAGCACAGTAACGCACCATGAAAACAAACACACAGATGATGTTGCTGCACCATTTCATGCGCTTTCAGAGGAAAAAAAAAAAAAAGTTCATTTTCTACTCCACCAGTAAAAATAATCATCGTTACTCACCACTGCAATTTCCTTATGAAACTTGGCCTCGAGGCTGGAAACATTTTTGAAAGTGTTGACGTAAAAACCGACCCGTCTACCATGCAGAGACACAGAGGGGAGAGAAGGGCAGGGAAAGATCAGTCAGCAGAACTGTAATTTTAAAGGTGATAAAATCTTAAATAAATGCATTCCTTCCTCTGATGTTTTCTTCCTATGATGTTGACTAACACCGGACCAAATCTTCTGGCTTGGAGCAGAACCCCTCCTAATGCGGCTGACGCCTGGGGACCGTGGCTCTCACCTGTGCAGCACAGCTGGAGGTGTTTCTGATTCAGCAGGTCCCAGTCGGGGACAGAGGATTTGCATTTCTACCAAGTTCTCAGTGACACTGAGGCTGCTAGTGCAGGGAGAATGCTTTTGGGAAGCACAGCCCTAAGAATCTGTTTGTATTTTAGATGTGTGTCGTGTAAAGGGCTGGAGATAGAGAAGTTTACCTTTCATTTTTATACCCTATGCGTGGTCTCGTTTTGGTACCATGTATTTGGATTCTGAAATATGTTTGGTGGAGAAAACAGAAAACTACCAGTTCATTGTAATTCCTCAAAGTAAGAGTGTGCTTTCACTGAGCAAAAAGAAACACAAGATGTCCAGTACCACTATCTCACACGTGTGTGAAGCAAATCCATGGAGTGGAGGTGTACCGGGAGGGACAGTCTTAGGTCTCTAATAGTTAGCATACGCAGCAGCCCTTGCGGATTCAGCCTGGCACCTCCTGTATGGGCTCCCTTTGCTCTCCCTTTCAGTGAGGACCCTTTTGAGTCTATTAATTCAACCCTTCTGAATCCACCTAGTAAATTACTACTTTAACCCATGTTCTTGTTTCAATAACATTCTCAAAAATAACTCCAGAATCCTGACTGGTTCACTAGATTCCAAATCCCAAGTAAGGACTTAGATGCCAGAAACATTAGATAAGGCAGATATATGGAATAAACATACACTCAGGGCGGGGGAAGGGGATTGTAATTAAAATACTTATTTGGGGGGCGCCTGCATGGTTCAGGTGGTTAAGCGTCTGCCTTCAGCCCATGTCATGATCCCAGGGTCCTGTGATGGAGTCCCACATCGGGCTCCCTGCCTAGTACAGAGCCTGCTTCTTCCTCCCCCTGTACCTCTCCCCCCATGCTCATGCTCTATCTCTCTCTCGTGCTCTCTTTCTCAAATAAATAAATAAAATCATTTTTTTTAAAGGCATATTTATTTGGGGGGGAGTAAGAATGTTCCCGTTAACATCAGATGCCTGAACATCTGCTTGAGAGGATAAACTTTGGGTGCCCTGAGGGCCCCTCTTATTTAGGACCCCTCTTATTTAAACAATGACATGAGGGGTACCTGGAGGACACGGACAACGACAGTTAAGCATCCAACCCTTAATTTTTGCTCAGGTTATGATCTCGGGGTCATGGGATCAAGCCCCACATGGGGCTTTGCTCTCAACACGGAGTCAGCTTGAGCTTCTCTCCTATCCCTCTTTCTGCCCCTCCCTGGCTCATGCTATCTTCCTTTCTCTCAAATAAATGAATAAAATCTTTAAGCAAGGACATGAACAGATAGAGAAAAGAGTGCTTCCCATTTCTCTGTGCCTTGTGGTAAGCAGGATTCCAATAAGCCGGATGGACGAATGTTCCATCATCATTAAAGGAGACAGAAAGAGCAGCCATCGAAACATTTTACATATTCCCTCACTTCATTCTTGTAACCACCCCCAAGACAGTGAGCCTCAGCACACTGTCTGGCTAACTGAGGAACAGACAGATTCACTGTCTAGGGTCTTGCAATTTATCAGTGGAGAACCTGTATTTGGACCCAAAAGGAGGAAAACCAATAGAAAAGCATGCACTGTCAGTCAAGAAATTCTGCTTAAGCATGAATATCATTATTTCTGTGGTTTCTGATAAAATCAGGTGGTTTAGAATTTTAACAAAAGATAAAAATTGAGATTCAGAGATGAAATACTAGGTAAACACTATATGCATCCCATTAGTAAAATTACTTTTTCTATGGGTTAACCTATACCTTAAATTCCTACCATGTTTCACTTATTTATTTTTTTTATTACCTTATAAGACTAGTTTGTTTGGGTTTCTTTCATTTTTTTCATTTACTGAGGTTTAACTGATAAATAAAATGGTAAGATATTTAAAGTGTGCATTGTGATGACCTGATATACAATTGTGAGGGGTTCCCCCCATCTAGTTAATTAACACAGATATCACCTTATGCATTTATCCTGTGTGTGAACATTTCTACTCTCTCGGCAAATTTCAATTATATAATATAGTGTTATAGAGCTGTGGGTAACCTTTTAACCAAGCTCTCCGTATTTCCCCCACCTTCACTTTTCCACTTTCTGTTTCTGTGAGTTTGCCTTTTTGATTCAGATTCCACATATAAGTGCTATGATGCAGTATCGCCTCACACCTGTCAGAAGGGCTATCATCAAAAAGAGGTAACAAGTATTGGCGAGGATGTGGAGAAAAGGGACCCCTCGTGCCCTGTTGGTGGGATTATAAGTGGGTATAGCCAGTGTGGAGAAGTCCTCAAAAAGTTAAAAACGGAACTACCATTGGATCCAGCAATCCCACTGCTGGGGCAATTTCTGAAGGAATGAAAACAGGATCTTGCAGAGATGCAGGCACTGCCTTGTTCATGGCAGCGTTCTTCACAGCAGCCGAGATAGGAAAGCAATCCCAGTGTCCCTCAACCGGTAATGCTTAGAGGTAGGATACATATACACACACAAACACATAGGTCATTTTATGTATTACTTCACAACAAAATGAAAAAAGAGGTGAATTCAGGGACGCATGGTCACTGTAGCTATTGAACATTATGATTAAGCAGGACATATGTCCTTCTCTGTCTGGTTTATTTCACTCAGCATGATACCCTAAAGGGATACCCTAATAGTTACTCCCAAATGGCATAACCTCCTTTCTTATGACTGAGTAATATCCATTGTGTGTATGTGTATGTGTCTCTATGTATGTATCTGTAGACAGATAGATGGACGTATAGATAGACAGACAGGTACACATACATATATTAATAAAGAAAATCCTAGCACAGGATGTTCAGGGAACTAGTAACTACCTGAGAGGGTCAGACCAGCAGCCTAGGAGATGAGAGCCCACCAAAGCAGGCAGATCTATGCTCTGAGGCCAAGGATCTTCCAGATCACTTGCAGGCCATGCTTGCTTGCAGCCTCTAGCCATGTCTAAGGCAGGGGCACGGAGAGGACCTGCAGTGGAGGAAACTGACTAAAGCAGCAGCTGGATGAGAGGCGAGATGGCAAGCCCTGGGACAACACCGCAGAGGGACTGGCTCACTCTTCTGTTGGTGGGCAAGTCTTCCTAGTACACCACTTCTCTGGGACTCCCATCAACAGTCATTCCACATACCTTCCCCCTCATTCAATTACTCAACAAAGAGCTGATTCACTCTAGGTTCATGCCTAGTGGTGGGCTCCAGGGGCTCTGAGAATGATAGTCCAGGTAGAGGAGGACCTGAGCGCAGATTCCTGAACACACGCTCTGTCATTCTGGTGAGTCAAAGAAGCAGATTCCAAGACAGCTTGTGAATGTTAAAGTTACCACAAAAGGTCACCCCCAATGAAATAGCAAAAACGAGTAGATTTGGACAGAAACAGCTAAAGGCATTGAGAAGAGAGGGGAATTAACAGCCTTGTGTCAGCTGCGAATGTCTGCTTGAGAGGATAAACTTAGGCTGCCCTGAAGAAGGGTCAGATTTAAATAGAAGGCAGGAGAAGATGTGTGAATGGGAGGGTATAGAGGGATGGGGGTGTACGTGGATGGAGGGTGTAGGTGGATGGGGTGTAGATGATGGGGGTATAATGGGGGGGTAGAGATGGATGCAGGTGTAGATGCATGGGGAGTGCAGACGGCCAGGAAGTACAGAGGGACGGGGGTATAGACGGGGGGTGCAGAAGGGGAGTACAGATGGAGGGGTTGTGTAGGGTGTAGTTGACCTCCATTGGTGAGTATTGTTTTTATTTTCAAAATAAAACCCTAATGAAGATCTATGAATTAAGACTTGGTGCACAGCTCTACTCTTTCCTTGGAGTAAGTTTCTTGAATATAAGTGCTGTGTGAGAGGCAGACACCATAGAAGTTTGATGACTAGTGCCAAGCTGCTCCCACCCAGGCTGGGTCCTTCGACTCCCTCAGCTCTCAGCATGAGGTTATACAAAACCGTTGTAAATTTGATAGGCAAGAGTTAACACCTTGCTGACTTTCATACTTATATTCCTTTAATTAAAGTTAATACTTTTTTCTTCATTTATTAGCCATTCGTTTTGCTTCTTTTGTGAGTCACCTATTCATATTTTGTATTTATTTCTTAGTGCTTATTTTTTTCTTGTTTATTTGTAAGGGAATTACTATTAAACATATTGATCCTTGGACACATTTAGCAAAAACAAGAGTTCCCGTTCTTCTGTCTTTAAATTTTATTTTCTGATATATAGTTTATATCAATATCTGATATAGAGTTTATATAAATTATTATCATGGCACCTGGGTGGTTCAGTGGGTTAAGCGTTCTACTCTTGATTTCAGCTCAGGTCATGATCCCAGGGTGGTGAGATCAAGCCCTGCATCTGGCTCCATGCTCACTGGGGAGTCTGCTTGAGATTCTCCCTCTCCCTCTGTCCCTCCCTGTCACCCCCACTCTCGTTTCTCTCTCTCTAGACAAGAGAGTATTATTTAGGGAAATAATTGGTGTGGTGCCAGGAATACCTTGTTGAGAATGACTAAACAAATATCAATAAATTTTCTAATATTTTTATAGTATATTTTAGAACTTAAGTCAACTAGCATGTATTTAACTTAGAAAAAAAGTGTTGAATATCTTTGATGCAATTGACCAGATAATGGTTTTCTTCAATTTATGAAATCAGAGGCTCTTTTAAAGTAGGGAACGCCTTTGACTCACTCACTACCAGAGGCACTAATAAGGCACCTGGTCAGAGCAAGCATGCAGTAAATATTCAACAAATGAATGAAAGAACTAGTG